CCTTAACCTCTGATCTACCCCACCTTCCCTCCTCGACTCAATAACAAGTACTATGATCTGACTGATGGTTGTGAAACATGCACAGAACTTCATCGCCGTCTGTTTCATTTTAAAAAAAATGTGTATCTGAGAGCGATGAGTAGGAATTGATGTAGATGTGGAAATGATGTATATTTGGAAGTGATGTATTGTAAATGAGGAAGTAAGGTAGATGTGGAAGTGGTGTAAATGCGGAAGTGATGTATTGTAAATGAGGAAGTGAGGTAGATGTGGAAGTTGTGTAAATGCGGAAGTGATGTATTGTAAATGAGGAAGTGAGGTAGATGTGGAAGTGGTGTAAATGCGGAAGTGATGTATTGTAAATGAGGAAGTGAGGTAGATGTGGAAGTGGTGTAAATGCGGAAGTGATGTATTGTAAATGAGGAAGTGAGGTAGATGTGGAAGTGGTGTAAATGCGGAAGTGATGTAAATGCGAAAGTGATGTAGATGTGGAAGTGATGTAGATGTGGAAGTGATGTAGATGTGGAAGTGAGGTAAATGTGGAAGTGAGGTAAATGTGGAAGTGAGGTAGATGTGGAAGTGAGGTAGATGTGGAAGTGAGGTAAATGTGGAAGTGATGTAGATTTGGAAGTGATGTAAATTTGTAAGTGATTTAAATGTGGAAGTGATGTAAATGTGGAAGTGAGGTAGATGTGGAAGTGAGGTAAATGTGGAAGTGAGGTAGATGTGGAAGTGAGGTAGATGTGGAAGTGAGGTAGATGTGGAAGTGATGTAGATGTGGAAGTGATGTAAATGAGGAAGTGATGTAGATGTGGAAGTGAGGTAGATGTGGAAGTGAGGTAAATGTGGAAGTGATGTAGATGTGGAAGTGATGTAAATTTGTAAGTGATTTAAATGTGGAAGTGATGTAAATGTGGAAGTGAGGTAGATGTGGAAGTGAGGTAGATGTGGAAGTGAGGTAAATGTGGAAGTGAGGTAAATGTGGAAGTGAAGTAGATGTGGAAGTGAGGTAGGTGTGGAAGTGAGGTAGGTGTGGAAGTGAGGTAGATGTGGAAGTGAGGTAAATGCGGAGGTGAGGTAGACGTGGAAGTGAGGTAAGTGTGGAAGTGAGGTAGATGTGGAAGTGAGGTAAATGTGGAAGTGAGGTAAATGTGGAAGTGATGTAGATGCACAGGCTCCTTCCCACCCGCGCTGGACTCCAGATGACACCAGGCAGGCGTCGCCTATACGGGTGCCCTAATTATAACTGGCGGTTGAACGGGGTATCTGAAATTTTCCCTACAGGCTTGCCATCCAGATTTATAATGTTATTCTCAGAGTGGTCTAACCTTCAGAAAGCAACCCGAAAACTGTCTGAAACTTGCGCACGCTAAACAATGTTCTACAGTTTTAAATCGTAGAGAAATAAATGGCGACTACGAAAAAAGAAGGCTTTGTATCTATTCGCTATTAGATATAGACTAAGAATAAGAAATGTTTATCTATCGCCTTGAAATTAAACGATTAGGGAGAGATAGATAGATAGAGAGAGAGCGAGAGAGAGAGAGAGAGAGAGAGAGAGGGAGGGGGTACCATAGCCGCGAAATTAGGACGACCGCTTAGAAGAAGAAGGAGAATGAAAAGAAGATGATCATAGTGAATTCATTGATATATTTGTTAATTCCTATGTGAATTTTCCTTTTTCATTATGTCTGTTTTCTGTACTTTTGTTTTAATTTCGTTACGCTTCTGTTTCTTTCATCTTTTCGTTATTTCGTCTAGTTATTCCGTATGTCTTATGTCCATCAATCAGTCCATTCATCATCTGTCTGTTCTATGGCCCTACTGTCAGTCTGTTCCTTTGTTTGCCTGTTTAGCTGTCTGTCTATATGTTTAGTGTCTGTCTGTCTCTGTGTCACTTTAATCCTGCTGCTTATTTCTTCCTCACTCTTTTTCGTTCGCGCCCTCCCCCATCTCCCTTAGTCCTTTTCTACGTTCTGTCAACAACAGCAACAAAACGCCAAGTAGGAGGGAAAAAACAAAACAAAGAACACAGGAATGCAAACACATGGCCAAGGTTTTGCACTTCGCGTGGCTCAACCACAGACTCGGTTCCATTTAAACACGCCTGGAATTCCCTCCTCGGAGCGGGCTGCCCCAGGAGCAGTTCCCACAACCAAGGAAGGTGTTTACCAGATGCCCTGATAAATAATGTTTTTTTTCAGAGGAGTAAAAAAAGCGGGTAGGGGTGTTCATGTTTTCATATTACAAAACTAGTATTTGATAAGGAGGTAGGAAGGTTGGGGCCTCTCTCTCTCTCTCTTTGTTTCTTTCTCTCTCTCTGTGTCTCTCTCACCTTCTTCCTCTCTTTCACACACATACATACATATATACACACACAGACGAGAGAGAGAGAGAGAGAGAGAGAGAGAGAGAGACCCGCATGTATGTGGGCCATTATTATGAGTGTAAATGACAACCTCTAGTCCTGGTCTGGTCTTACGGTTCAGAAGTATGTTTACCATGTGATAAATTTGAGTGTACTGGGATTTTTTTAAAATAAAGATTTTTTCTTCAGAACAGCAGTCTTTATGATTAGCATCTGAGGGGTGAGAATCAAACAGGTACAAATCCCGTTCGACCGTACAGCCAGGAAGCAGTTATATTGGGGCACCACAGCACGGTTACACAGTAGCGTAGTCCAGTGTGGGCGGATCTAATAATGAGAGAAGTGTGGAGTGAGAATGTAAATGTCATTGGGGTTTGTGAGTGGGTGGTATGCTGATGGGGAGGTGTGCATGTAGGCGTGTTTCTTGGTGGACGGAATGCTGATGTGAATGTGTGTGTGTGTGTGTAAGTATGGGAGGGGTCTGTGCAGACGGTGTGTTTTTAAAGTGGTAGGAAATTATAGGAAATAAAATGCGCGGAACAGAGCATAGGACAGTTTTGGGGCAACTATAGTTTTTAAAAGGGTTGAAAATTTTAGGCAAGAGAAAAAGTTGGCAAGAATGAGCAAACAGTTTATGTTAGCTTTACAAAATCGATCACAATAAACAAACAAAGGACGTTGCGGCGATTAGCCTTCGTCAGCACATAAAGAACAACACAGTACACATACACAAATATGCTCTAACTATGAAGTGACTACATAGGACTCTAATGTACAAAATCAATGATACTCATCTGTGTCCCTGGCGAAAACCCCGAAGTGGCGGTGAATGGCCAAGGGATATGTTTTGGTAGGACATGTTGATGTTGAAGTGTGTGGGTAGGCAGTATGTTTATGTGGAAATGGCGGATCGTATGGATGGATGGGTCGGTAGGTAGGCACACAACTGGAAAACTGTATTTGGGTTACCGTTAATTTTTAGTTAACTACATTGAACGGGCTAGTGGGCAAATATACTACAGTTTGATATATAATGCATGAACCCTTCCCTTCCCCTTGTTTACCCCTCCAAAGTGAACAGCGACTGTAGGTCTTCGAGCCAAGTAAAAGAGACTTGAAAAATGTCAGCCGTCAACAAAATAGAGACCGGTTTTAGATTCTTTGTGAATCGTCTGTTCATATTGTATCCAATGACGTCACTAGCGGACGTCTGCTTGAATCACGTTGTTAACCTTTGACCCGAGGGCACACAAAGACTAGCACTGTGTGATGCTCCTGGAGAAAATCCATCACTTTGTTCTGGAGTGTTTCACTTGCAGTGAAAGAAAACTTCCGTCGTCTTAGAGTTTACCGGCTGTAAACTCCGGCAGAAAGTTCTGGTTGTCCGTCTACTTCTGGACTTTTGTCTTGTTCAGAACTAGGGTTTTGGGTGCACGTGGTTTTTACAGATCTGACTGTTGGTTCCTCGCCTCTCAGGCAGATGCACCCTGATTTAAAAAGAGATAACCTCAGTTTGTCGCCTTTTACGGCAAGCTTGTTAGGGGGACAGTGGGTATGTTTTCTCAAGAAAACATTGTTTAATAAAGACTTGATCACACCATCCAGCAAGTTCTTTTTGATCGGAGCTTTTTTTTTATGGCGGTTCGTTTGCAGTACCGGTACTTCTTTTTAACGGCACTATGTCTTCAGCTTATCTTTAATAGATACTTAGTGATGGATACCGGCACCTTTTAAGGTACTTTATGCCGAGTAATGGCACCTATTATTCTAGCAAAATAGCTCTGCATCCGGGAAGAAAAGACAGGATCGACCAGCAACCTAGGGAGACAAGATGTCAAGGACGCCTGCGGCAGGAAGTTCACAAGGCGGGGGAGCATACATATACAACAATTCAGATTGAGCACAGTCTAAACACTTTTCAAATAAAGTCCACGACTCACAGTATCATGCCATGCACTCAACTCGGTAGGCGGAGGATGGTATATCCTTTCAGTCTACATATAAATGAATATCTAATGACTAAATATTGTCAAAGAAAAATCTTGCCAGGAAAAACAGTAAACCTATCTATCCGTCATATTAACTTAAGTTGGTTGAAGCAATGTTCTGCAAAGCATCTGCTACATGTTGAACATATACCTCCAGCAAATACTCCCCCCCCCCCCACCTTCTGCGTTCACTCTTAAAATATTAAAAGACTGTTTGGCAGATTGTGTTGTGGTTTACCGCTAGACTGCAGTATGTGAACCTTTCAGCCCAAATTATCCCATTTCACCAAACCCTTAAATGCTTTTTACAACAAGCTTATTAGGGGACACTGGATCTGTTCCGCCTACCACCCCCTCCCCCACACATGTACAGACACACACACACGATGTGTACAAGGTACACATATCATTATTGTTTTCATTAAATATTGCCATGAAATTTATCCGCTTGCTGTGTTTTAGGAATGAAAAATGAAAGAAAGAAACCTCAGTGGTTTCTACATTTATTTAGTATGCACTGACCAAAACTTAAATATAAGAAGAACTCGATGTGACGTTTGAGACATGTGGAGATAATCAGTAACACACGATGAGGTGCTTTGGGTGCTGGAATAGTTATATGTATTATGTATATACTTCCACAGGTACAATCGTGCAGGCAAGTTCATGTCCCCATCATGTGACCAAAGTACCCCACAGCTACACGGCTGTCCACAAACACGTCTGCTACCTGTTTGTCAACAGTGAGCTGTACTGGAGGGAGGCCCGTGACCGGTGCTGGGATTTGGGTGGTGAGATGCTATCCATTGAGAGTCAAGAGACCATGGATTTCATCAAGAAGAAGCTGAATTCACCAGAACTCAGCTGGGACAGAGAAGGCATTTGGTTGGGTGCCAGTAAAAAATCTGGCAAATGGAAATGGACTAATGGTGAGAATTTTATTTTAGAAGTGTAAACTAATTGCCTCCTGCATTTACCACTTTTTACCTTCTTCAGTTCCACAGGGTTTCACAAAAAATATCCAAAGGAAACAACAACCACAATGAATGGAACATGGTTGCATAACGTTAACAGAGGCAGCACTTACACATTGTGAACTACTTGAAGAAATGCATATGCTGGAACATGTTCTGACATATTCAATTAACTGACATGATTCCATTTAGTTGTATTAGGAGTCTTCTTCTTCTTGTGTTCAAATAAGCCCAAATCTTGTGAGGATTTGGAAACACCGAAATTCCAGAGGTGGACGAACACCCAGGATGTATTCAATTTAATGCTCCACCCTCATTCGTATTTACCTGATTTGACTGTTTTTATGAGCTTTAAAATGTCGTTTTTTTTTTTCTTTCTTTCAGGAATCCTCTTACTGGGTCATGACCTATTTGTTTTTTAGAATTTTCATGGTGAAAGGATTAAAATTAGTTACATGTCCTTTAATCTCCTTTTCAGGCTCTCTTTGCATTTAATCACTGTTCTTTGGTGTTATAAGGCAAGTTTATGTTCGCTCTTCTTTTTCAGCTTATTTTTCACTAGCTGTAAACTCTGGCAAAAAGTTCTGGTTGTTCATCCATTTCTGGACTTTGGTCTTGATCCAGAACTTGGGTTTTGCATGCACATCCATGTTCTTGGTCTGGTTTATTTGTATTGCAGACTGTTGGTTCTTGCCTCTCAGGCAGATGCACTCTGACCGAAGGAAACAACCTTAATTAGTTGTCTTTTACGACATGCTTTTTGATTGATGGGGGGGGGGGGGGGGGGTCAATTCTTATTTTCGCCCAAATGGGGTTCTAGAAACCCACACGTAGACATGGTCAGTGATTTGTTAGTACTTCCTGTGATTTGCTAGTGCTTCCTGTGATTTGCTAGTGCTTTCTGTGATTTGCTAGTACTTTCTGTGATTTGCTAGTGCTTCCTGTGATTTCCTAGTGCTTTCTGTGATTTGCTAGTGCTTCCTGAACAGAATGATTTTCATAACATTTTTCAAATCAAAGCATGCTGTGTCACCTGTGCTGACTTCAAGTTTTGGTGTCTTTGGTATTGTGAAACTGCATTCACAACCCATCAGCTACAGTCAGCTGCACTTATCACTTTATTAGACAAAACAGAAAAGACAAAAAGGGGTGGGAGGGGGGGGGGGGATGAGGGTGAAAAGTTATTCTATGTGGCTAGTAAAGTAAATTCACCATTTTTGATACTAGGAAAGTTTTCTTTCTTTTTGACAGCACGTCTAAACTCAATTTCCTTGTTTTCATTATATGCTTTCATGTGTGGCATCTATGTGTGCATGTGTTTCTTTTCCTCTGACACACACACACGCACGCACGCAGGCAGGTAGGCACACACACACTCATACTCTCACACACACACACAGAGAGAAGAGGAAAGAAATTATAGACAATGCTTAACAACATTTTTTTTCTGATTCCCAGGGAGATTAGTAAATTACACAAATTGGGCCCCTGGACAGCCCAGCAATTTACTGGGGCTCCTGTCCGTAGAAGACTGTTCACAGATGCGTGAAGACGATGGATGGAAATGGCATGATATTCCCTGTGGCTCTCTTCGCTTCCATTACAACTACATTTGCCAGTTCCGTAAGTAGTATTTAGGTGTTTCCATTATACTTTGATTGTCATAAATGTCATGGCAGTACGGCTATCAGGAATAGGTGTCTATGGACAGGAGAAGCATCATCAGTGCCATACAAGAGACTAAACAAAGCTTTCAGTTTCGTGGAAAATGATTTTTCACTGAATAGACTGCATACCCTAGGTGTACCTATTGGAGCAGCATGACAGAAAAACCATGCCGGAACCACCCGTCGTTACATCAGCCAGAACAGAATGGAAGTTGTTAGCCTAAAAACACTGGGAGACATACTCAGGAGGAGATCGGAGCACTTATGGTCATGTTTGATTTGCGATGAAAGTGACCTTTAAATGAACAGTGAACAATATCATAGACAGTGAGAAAGGTTGAAACAAATATTTTGAGAAAAGGGGGAATTGCAGTTTTCTTGTTAGTTTTGATTCAGGTTTTGGGCTTCCCTGCGATGAAGTATTGCATGCAGTGGCAAAGGATAGAACGACGTGACACAAATTGTTTGAGGGCCTGTGTCCCATTGGGGGAGTAAAGATAGTAGAAGCAGAAGAAGGAGAGATGCCTATTTCACATTCAAATGATCAATTTAGAGATCAAACAAACTGCTGTTTCATGTAGGAAACTTGACAGGAGGACAAACAGATTTTAAAGGGCAGATTATTTGGATTATCAGCTTTCACAACTGTTGAAACATTCATGTGTCAACATATAAACCCATAGACATGACCAGCAGCACGTTTGCAATGGTGAATTACAGACAGATAGAAGATGTTCTGGACAGCCTCTGCTAGGATATAAAGTATAGGCAAACAGGGCATGAATGGGTTGGATTGTGGGAACCAGGATACTATGGATGATGTTGCACGGAAGAGGGAAACCAGGAAGGACATTTGGATAAAGAAGCAAATGAATGCAGATAGGTTCAGAGCTGAGCTTCTTAGAATAGTCAGGCCAAATAGATACCATGGCATTAATGGTTCTGCGGTCTCATGCTCTGATTGTAGAAGGCATTTCTTGGCATAAGCTGGTCTTGCTAGTTGCACTCGCCATTGCCATGGGCTGTGATTTTCATGTGTCCCTATAGCAGTGCACAATTTAGCGCTGTCCTCTGGAAAGATGGTACATCTTTTTATTTTATTTTTATTTACCGGGGGAAAAAAAAGCAAGTCAAGGGCTTTTTTCACATCATTGGTACAATGGTATATGGTGCTAGAAAACTTGGGTTTAGGTCTGTCAGCACTGGGTTAGAGGGGTTGGGTGGAGGGATAGTATGTTGTTAGCTCAGTGCCAGCCATTTTAACTTTTCCATGATGTTTCCTGACACCCATTTAAGGCTGGGCCATTCTAGAAGCTCAGTTCATTTGTTTAAAGGAAATCTGCCCTAATGCAGATTCCAACCAAAGACCTACAGACAAGCATCTAGCCACTGTGCCACCATGGCTCCAAGCTCATTTATACCTGCTTGATACTTCTGTCAGACCTGGTCACTGACCCCAGCACAAGAGAAGACTACCACAGTGTATGAGATGAGATGGGTGAGATATAAAGGAAGGGATTAAGGGCATTTTTTCCCACGCCTTCAGATGTACTGGGCATGTAGGGCTAGACCTATATTTTTTTAGACCCGTTGGCACACGGTGGGTGCATGGATGATGTGAGCTAGCAGTGTAACCAGGAAAAATAACTAAGAAATGATGACATCATAGACATGGTTGGAGTAATGTGCAGTAATTATATGTAGAGACAAGATAGGGTGCTCAAGTCATTTAATGGGAATGTAACCTGAAAATCTCAATCTCTTAATGTGCTTTGCAGACTGGCGTGGGCGATCATGCCTTTCCGCAATCTGTGATCTGCAACTTTATGTATCAGTTCGTGGGTTGACACCCCTTCTTGCCATGATAAAAGGCTGTTAAGAATCTTCTTATGTTGTCTTCCTCTGTCTCTCTTTCCACAAATCTTTCCACTGGTCACAATTTCCTCTTATCATAACATGACCACAAAATGATGACTGTCTTCACGCCTTTTCCTCTTTCAAAACATCTGGGTTGCTTGTTTTGGCTATCCAAGGAATTCTAAGGATTCTTCTGCCAATCTACCAAGTTTATTACTAGACCTGTGGAAGAATCAGTTACAAAGCATGTAGAAGGTTGAGGAAATTGCCACAGGAAGGTGGAAGATTTGTGTAATATGCTCTGATCTAATTCATCAAACTAGAAAAACACATTCCACAATCTTCTTCTTATTTTGTCCTCTCACTGATACCATGTTGTAGCCCAATGTCGTGCGTTTCTGTTTTTGTCTTGCGCTTCTTGAGTAGCTTGGGTGATGAATTTGTTCATCTTTTTGCAGGTTTCAGCTACACCATTTATCCATCTGCTCTTGGTCTTCCCCTCACCTTCTTCCCAGATGTTTTACTGTAAATGCCAATTGTCCCTTTTTTAAAAACTAAAATAGAACACACATTTATAGTCATATCAAAAGACTTGATTAGATTAAAAATTTTTCAGATAATATCCCTGTGGTGTGTTAATGAGTTTTTTCTTCTTAATTGCAGTTAAAGAGAATATTGTTTTCATTTATTTCTTGGTGACAGTGGTTCAGGTTTTAATACCTTTCACCCCGATCACCTAGAAAAAAAAAAAAAAAGGTGGTGGGGTTGAACTGACTTGCTTGTGTTGTTCTGTTTTCAGCTCAGAATATTAGTGGGATTTCCTGTTTTCAGCTCAAAATATTAGTGGGATTTCCTGTTTTCAGCTCAGAATATTAGTGGGATTTCCTGTTTTCATCTCAAGATATTATGGTCACCCTAAACTAAATACATTTCAGAACCATGTTAACAGATGTTAAATGTCATTCCCTTTTTGTTCCCTATGCAGCCACTGTGGCAACGACAACCACAGCTATTCCCGCAGTTAACACTGCCACTCCTCAACAGTTAACTCCTTTCTTAACAAATGTCAACATTGGTAGAGCTTATGCAAATTTGAGTTCCGAGGAATATAAACGATTGGGAGTAGGACTTGTTCAAATTCTGATCAACCAGGGTGTACCAAATTCTTACAATAATTTCTTCTCAGATGCTTATCATTCAGGTTGGTTTAGGCTTGTTATCCAGAAGCTTGTGCAGAGTTTTCCCGTCTTGGCAGTTTTTTTTTAAGCATGCAAATGGCTGCTGACTACCTTTTTATTTTGTTGTTGATCACTTGTCTGCATGAAGTTGCTCAGCAGTTAAATATAGTACGCAATTTTGAAATAAAAAGTGCAAATTAAAGTAAAGGACATTTTTCTACGCCTCTAGGCGTATAGGGCATTTGGGCTAGACCTATATTTTATAGACTGATCGGCACAAGATGGGTGATGTGGTCAGCATCACGCCGGCCACCTTTACTTCCCAGGACTGTACCTGGTACCCACTCAAGGCTGGGTCGACCTGGGAGCCCAGGTCATTTTTGAAAGAATCTGGTTCACCAGGGAGCGGACTCACGACCTCCCGATCCGCGGCGAGCGTCCAGCCGCTCTGCCACGTTGACTCCCAATTTTGAAATGACTTATATTAAAACTGTTTAAATATTTTCTAATGTAAAGATGCCATTCTGAACGTTTTTTTGTTAAGTCTGTGAAAATAATCTTTAAATGAAAATATAAAGATTGTCATAAGTTTTAGTATTTTAGATCATATTTTAATCTTTGCTGAACGCTAATCACTGTGATCCTAACCACATCACTTTCACCATTCTAATTGGTCCATGTAGTATTAGGCTAGCAATTCCATATTCCAATATTAACATGCACAAATTCATGGCTGGCTGTGTTAAAAGTAAGTTATTGATTTTTGTTTTCAGTTAAAAACAAAATTTAAGGATAACTGTTATTGCTTTTAAATTACCTGTTTGGGTTCCAGGCCCAAGTGGGAGGGAAAGGGGGTGGGGGTTCTTACCTCATTTCCCTCTCTCTCCACATACACAAAGGAACAAGAATTACTGTGACATGAATTCTGTATCACAGTGGCGGATTCTAATGTGTGAAGACCAGAATCTCACATAGTATAAAAATACAAGGGGGCTGCAAATGGAAACCTTAAAATGTTGGATAGAAGTTACATTAACCATGCCACTTGTCCTATAACCCTTCAGTGTTGTTGTTAAGGATGCCAAGAGTGTTAAACATATGACATCACGGTACAACCGAACACAGTTTAAAGATGGCAGCCCCACTTTTGACATACACCAGAGAAGAGCAGCCTTCTTTTATCTGTTTTTTGATGGCATGGTTATTGTAATTTCTGTCATACTTTTAAGGTTTTTGTTCTCCTCCCCCCCCCCCCCCCCCACCCCCCCCCCCCCCCCGTATTCTTTTTATGGGTGGAATTTCTAATTTTGGTCTTCACTCCAATCTGCAGCCTCAGCCTGCTCCTGTTGATTTCCAATTGCTGAGAGGTTGTCAGTGTGTAGAAGTTTTACTTACACAAGTTCTATGAGTTTTTTTTTTTTTTAAGAATTTACCTGAGGGTTAGAAATTCAGTCAACTATCCTTTTTTTTTTTTTTTTGCAGTCTGCACAGTTCATACCATATACCCAATACCCCTGTACCCATGAAGATGGGTCCTTGTTATTTTCCTACACACAAAACACATAGTTTCTAGTCTGTATGAAATCGGTATGTCTTAGTGAAATGTACAAACTAGATCTGCATGAGCCAGAGAAGGAGTTCCAGTCTCCAGCCTCCAAACCTGTCTGCGTCTAAGAAATCAGCTTTTGCACTTTCAGTTTGCACAAGACATAATTATAATGCTGGCAGATAGATGATGCTGTGGCTGTGTGTTGAGTTGTGGTACTTGCTTAGTTGTTGTCTTGTTCACTGAGCAATATATGTATGATAGAGGTGAGAGGAAAGCTTTGCACACTAATGTATTGCAACTAACATTTAAATGTTTTACAAAATTTTATTTTTAGTCTGGTATTAATAATTTACTTCAGATTATTATGTTTTGGATTAGAAACAATTTTGTTTTGAATATGAAACACTTTTGTCTTCAATACAGCACAGTTAATAATTTCAATTCATTAATCATTTTGCACAGTTAATAAATCTGCTTATTAAATTATGAATTATTTGTTAAATACATTTGTATTGAAGAACACTATTTTGGATGTCATGATAGCTATTGTTTTCTTTAATTTATTGCATTTAATACTTTAGAAAAAAAAACGGTTACTTCCTCTTTGTAATTTACCAAGGCAGAATTAACTGTACTGGTCTTTCATTATATTTTGGTATTGTTTTCTCTCTCCATCTTATAGTGTTTTAGAAATGAAACTATCACTGGCTCCATGTAATTTACCAAGGGAAAATTATAGTTGTGTAATTGTTTTGTATCTTCTTCTTCTTAAAGTCTGTTTTCTGGCAGCCTTCTGATTCATTCTGGCAGCCTTCTGACTCATGTAATTTTAGTAATTTCTAACCCGGATGATCTTCCCTGCCATGACTACAATCTGTCCAGCATCTTCTCTCTTTGTCTTTCTCTGCCAACTTTCCCACCGTCACGATGTACTCTTTTTTTTCCCTTCCTGTTATGATGTTACAAATTTGTTTAACACCAGATTACAGTTCTGATTTGTCAAACAATTAATCCTTTTTCTTGTTTTGTTACTATTCCTGCAGCTTTGAATAAACCTGGTGATGTTGGTGGCAAAGTGTCGTCTTCAGCTGCAAACCAATCAGAAGATAATGGAAATTGTAAGTTGACAGTGTTATTTTCTATATCATGACCATTGTAAAGTAAAAATGCAGGCAGAGGTCACATAAATCTTACATGTTTATGTGTGATGTTCCCTCTGTGGGTATTGGGGCCCTGTTTTGGGGAATAGAATACACCCACTGCTCCCCTAACAAGCATGCTGTAAAAAAATAACTGATTCTATATATTTCCTTTGTAGTCAGAGTGCATCTGCCTGATAGGTGAGGAACCAGCAGTCTGCATACTAAAAGCCAGGTGTCTTCTTCTTCGCGTTCCCGAGTTGTATACTCCGGTAGAAAGTTCTGGTTGTTCATCCACCTCTGGACTTTAGACTTGTTCCAGAAACTGAGTGTTATGGGCACATCTGTTTTACAGATCTGACTTATTTTTCTGCAGAATTTTGGTTCCTTGCCTCTCAGGCAAATGCATTCCAACTTCGAAGGAAACCCCAATCAGTCGACTATTACATGTTTTTTTTGGGAAGGCAGTGGGTCTATTCTTGTTTTTTCGACAATGGGACCCTGGAACCCACACAGGGAATTTCCATAGTGTTTGTTTTTAAGCGGGTGCAGTATAGAATATTTTGTGTGTTGTAAACACATAGGTATGGAAATGGTTTATTTGTAAAACTGCTCTGCAGTGCCCTTAGCCTTAGCTGGCATCAGCTCTAGGAAGGAAGCATGGACAGACAGAGCAGTGCTCCTCTGATCCAGCAGCTTCTGCAGCAGGTTTTGTTCCAAGGGTTTTGGTGTTACCTTCCTTTCCTTTGGAGAAAAGGATCATAATGCATGGGCAACACATGGTCTCTACAATACTGCCCAGGGTTTGTATTATGGAAAGAAGGAGCTTCATCCCTAGTCTTAATTGGTCTCTTGCACAAACTGATTCTCATGCCTCCTTATAGCACAATATAACTCTTATCGTCTGGAAAGACATAAAGGTGCCAGCAAAGTTTAGAATAACTTTATAATCTGTATCTTCTTCCCTTCCATCATTTACCTTAACGAGGTGTTGGGGGAGATGTAAAGATCATTTTTGCATTTTCCCCAATGCATTGTACAAGTTGGTGTTCATTTCTGTTAGGTTGTTTCTGACAATGTCATTCCATATCTTGCCTGGTCTTCCCCTTGCACTGTGTTGAATAGCCCTGATGTAGAATATGTGAAAATCTAACCCCTTCACACTATGTCTATAATGGAACTTTCCCTACTGCCCTTATTTTACAATTGTTAAGGGGGTGCTGGGCAGGAGAGTCTTGAACCTTTGGCTTTAGGGCAGTCACATCAGACTGCAGATTAGGATTTTATTTGTTGTCCCTGGCCAGAAAAAAAAGCACTATCTCCTTCCCAAGGGTTCCAACCCAGGTTTCCCAAATGAGAACTCTGTTTTCTAAGCGCTCTTGTAGACTTTCACCATGGAACCATCTTTAGAATTTACCTTATATTTATGGAAGAAAATTAAAATAATTAAATAAATAAATTCCAAGGACATAAAAAAAAAAATCAACAGCAATAAATCCTAACCTCAGAAACACATAATTATTGACCTACAAAATATGACCTCTTCTCTTATGATAGCTAATCCTTGATGTTTCTGATCTTTTTGCAGCATCCATCCTTGCTATCATCATAGGTATCAGCACAAGTCTTCTCTTAATAATGGGCATAATATTTCTTGTGCTCTACTATCATCAAAGACAGAGCAAGCAGAAAGCCAGCGAAGTACCAGTTCACTTCACCAATAACACATACTCCCGAACCCCCAATGGTTCTGTTCACAGAGATGGCCAGGCACTTCCTGTTCCTCCCAGTCAGCAGCCATTCGTTTCCAATGAGGAATTGTATTTGGATCCCCAGTCGGTGAGTAAGGGTAGTAGGCTATGTTTGCTGGTGGGAGCCTGCATGGCATGACACAGTGAAACTACCAGTTGCACAGTTGCCCTTTTTCTCCTCTTTATTCTCATTGGTTTTTTTTTCTCCATCTTCTTATACCTCCAACAGGCAAGCGATGTGCTGACACATGCGGAAAGAAGCATGGAGAGAGCAGATATCAAGTGCTGTGTGGATAGGCTAGTGAATAATGATGAATCTCTTCTTTGCTTTCACTGGCTATAAACTCCAGTGGAAAGTTCTGGTTGTTCGTCCACTGCAGGATTTGGTCTTGAACCAGAACTTGAGTTTTGCATGCTCATCCATTTTACACATTTGTCTTATTTTTATGCAGACTATTGGTTCCTTACCTCTCAGGCAAATGCATTCTTACTTTGAGGGAAATGCCCCTTATTTAGTCCCCTGTTGCGACATGCTTGTTGGGGTTGGGGGGACATTGGGTCTCGGACACTAACGTGATTGTGTGACCTGGGAGTAAAGCATGGTGAAGCATGTCTATGCGGCCTTTGAGGTCCTTATAAGAGATAGTATAACCAACTCCTCATTTGAACAATCAGTGGAGTTGCTGCTGCACGGGAGGACTGAGCAGGCATGGGAATGCATAATGTGCAGTAACGTCCGTTGTGATAACATAGCAATAATACCCCATCTGTGGCTTAGGCATTGCGAATGCACTTCATAGTTCTGAAGCACCAGATATTATTCCACTTGCAGGTTATTGGCAGCAGACTGACTTGTGTAGATTTAAAAGTGGTATCTATAACCAGCAATGGCAAACTATTGAACCTAAAATTGCTCAGTTAAAAAAATGCTAGGGCTAGTTTTGCAATGTCCTGAAAAATATATGCAACTAACTTTATCTCGCACAGGGCCCGAGTAAGCTCCTGCCATTTCACCCTATTCCCGAGCATCACATGCAGCTTACCGCCTGTCTTCCCCCTTTCTGCCAGGCTGGCAGCGTGACTATCAGGAATGGGCCATCTATGGACAGGAGAGACATCATCAATGCCATACGAGAGACTAAATTCTCTGAAGCTATCAGTTTCATGGATTATGATTTTTCACTGAATAGACTGGGTGTACCAGTTGGAGCCACCCGTGGTTACATCAACCAGAACAGAATGGGAGTTGTTAGCCTACAAACACTTGGAGACATATTCAGGAGAAGATCAGAGCACTTATGGTCATGTCTTATATGCGATGAAGATGATCTTTAAATGAATAATGTCTTTCCCCCATACCCCCTCATTCACTTTTTTTTCTTCTTGTGGTTTGTTTTGTTCTGTGGTTTTGTTTTGTTTGTGTGTCTGCATTTATTCCTTTCACGTGGCTGTGTGGCTTAGAGGTTGTTTCACAGTGCAATCCTCAACATTCACCAGTTACCTTAAAAAAAAGAGTTAAATAAAAGCAGTAGTGACAGTATGACATGCTTATTTGGGGTGAAAAGGGGGGGGGGCCATGGTTATGGGGTAAAAAAATGGGGTATCAGAACCTATTCGGGGAAGAGATTTAAATTACTCTGTAATGATTCTATAACTGGTTGTGTAGAACATTCATATTGTTCTTGCTTGTGTTGCAGAATGACAAGCCCAGCAGTAGCCACATGAACAGTGCCCCGGCCAAAGAATGCAAGTGTGTCCACCAGCAGTCAGTGGTCAGCAGCTCCATCTGTTCCTCCCCTGGCACCGACTCAGAGCTTGGAGCTTGTGTTGGCAGTGATCCCGAGCAGGAGATGAAGACGCCCTTGATGGCAGCTAACAGCATCGACTGTGAGGCTGTTGGAGCCAGCTGCGCAGCTTGCCAGTCCCTTCACAGCTGCTGCGTGCTCAACCAAGGGGACTACATAGACATGAAGAGCCAACCTCAGGAGAAGGATCAACACAGACATACCAAGGAAGAAGATGACAAGCATACTTACAGTAATGTGGATCACAGAGACACTGGGAATGAAAATCTCTATGAGGTTTTGCCATAAGCTTGTGAAAACTTCAAGTAATCTTCATAAAGGGGTGATCCCTTGGGCCAGGAATTGTGGTTCCTTGGTTAGCATGAGGTGCATGATTGCATGCCAGGTCACACTACTTCCAGAAACTGTGTTTAAACATTTGGGTAGACATAATGTTGACTACTGACTCAGTCCCTGGAGGTTAGTCTGGGGACACGTCTGTGGTAATGGATCATGTGCCATCCGACCACAGAATCAAATAATATCATGCATGATAAACAGATTTTATTGTACTAATTGGCACTCATAGATATCTTCTTCAGTGGGCCACTGCGGCGAAGTGGTCAGTCTATTTGCCTCATGCTCTAAAGGTCATGGGTTCGTTTCATGGTTCCGTTGTTCTGCTCACAAGTGCAGTTTTTACCAACCCCTGAGGATCGTGGTCAGAGCTATGGTTTCTTGCTGTCTGCAGTGCTCTCTGCAGATGGTTAGCTGTTATCTAGAGAGAGACCGAGCCATATGGGATAAAACCTAATGCAAGCCCAAAGTGACATATACTGGCACAATATGACGGTCAGTTATCCTGTGTGGGTTCCGCAGCTCCATTGTCGAGAAAACAAGAATAATCTTACCGCTTCCCAAGCAATCGTGTTGTCAGAGTCGACTAATTGGAAGCATCCTTTGAAGCTGCAATGCATCTGCCTGAGAGGCAAAGAGCCAACAGCTCGCATACAAATAAGCCAGATTTGTAATGTGGATGTGCACATAGTTGTTATATTCTTGAGCAAGCCTAAAATCTGGAGGTGGATGAACAACCAGAGCTTTCTGCCGTAGTTTACAGCCAGTGAATACAAAGAAGAAGTCAGTCAGTCAGTCTCAGTCAATTATGCTCTTATATTTCTTCTATAAAGCCACATCTGTGCAGCTTCTGTGTAATTTTTCAGTACTTATCAACTGTGTGTTTCACTTTGGTTCATCAGTATTGGAATAGTAGCTCTTTAGAACTCTCTCACATGCATTACTGACAAAGATGGCTTCATCCTGTGAAATCTACCTTGTTCTACCTTAAAATGTGGCTGGATTGGAATACTAGTGGATAATTTCTTTATATATGGTAAACAAATAAACATGTATTGGTTGGCTCTTGTCGAATGAAGTACCTCTTTGGCCATGCATCTTAGAACACTTATCCTGCGGTGAGGCCCTATGATCATTTGATGGTGGCAGTTTCGATTCCCAGCATGATAACAATGAAATAGATTCTCTTTACTTTTAATCTTTAACGTTTAGATATCTTCTTCTTCTATATTCACCATTAAAAGTCTAGTTAGCACATTACGTTAATTTACAGCTAGACTGTGAAATCCACACCATTTCAGCTCGACACATCCGGTTTCAGCAAATCCGTAATTAGTTACCTTTCACATAATTGTTAAGGGTCAGTGGGACTAACTCCCCCCCTCACTGCCCAAATAAGGCTCTGGAAGCCACACTGGGAACTCAAAAGATATAGAACAATTATTAGAGACAAGGGGGTTTCTATTGTATTGTTCATTGCCAAGAGCACATTACCATTTGTTTATCACACTATTTGGGAGGCCTCAGGGGTTCCCTATCCATTTGTGTGTATGTTATAATAAAATCAATCAGCCCTTGCGAGAAGTAGAGCTAGTCTGCTTCACAACACCACCGATGTGAGTGACAAAATGAACCTTGCGGCATGAAAGCCTTCATCAACACAACTGTATCATGCTTATCATTCAAGTTGATTAGTTTCTGGCCACACTACTTTAACCACTTTCAGTTTACCTAATCAAATTTATATTGAATGTGCACAGAGTAAACAGTTATTGCAACAGCTGGATCCAAACATTAATTGAGGAAAGATACAGATAATGCGAATAAATAGACAAACAATAAATTATGTATACACAATTGCTGGGATGTTGCAGCAACTAGATCTACATTTATAGAGAAAACATAAAGATAATGAGAATGAGCCGAGTAAATAATAACCCAATAACCCTTTGTGAAATCTCACTGTGGGATGTGGGATCCTACACACATATTTCAGTAACAAACGTTGATAATTGGGAAAATAAGAGAGAGTGGCAGAAAATGGAGAGACACAACAAACTGCAAACATAAAAGAGCTGGCTGGGAGTAGATCACTTAGCATACCAAGAAGATAATCTGCAAGCCCACCTGTGGGTCCAAAGATCATGGGTTCAATTCCAAATAGAACCACACTTTTTTCAGAAATGACTTTTGCTCCTAGGTCAACCCAGTCCTAAATGGGTACCAAGTAAAATCATTGGAAGTAAAAGTGGCCGGCATGATGTTGACTTCGTCATCCCTTGAGTGCCGATAGATCTATGAAATATAGGTCTAGTTCTGAATGCTTAGTATATCTGACGGTGTGGAAGCGAGGTCCTTACCACAACAACAACCAACTGGAAAAAGAAGACCAGTCATAGAGTTGAATTAAGACAAAGAGTATCTGCATCAATGAACCCCAAGGGTCTGAACGGTTGAAGAAGCAGAAGATGTAGACACAGATGGGGGGAAAAGAGAGAAATTTCAAAATACGAATGTTAAAAGGAGTTTCATAGTACTTAGAAGTTTGTGGAAGTTTAATTAATTAAATCTAGTACCAAACTCAGAATATTTAACATAGAGTCAGATCTGCTGTATAGAGCAAAAACATGGATAATGACTGAAACAGCTACCTGCTAATAACAAACACACAAACTACTGACATTCATGCTCTTGTGCCTGCACAGAATAAGTAAAGTAAAAGTAAAGTTCCCTTTTCACGCCTTTCGGCGCATCTGGCATGTGGGCAGAGCGTCCCATATTTTTACAGACCATCAGCACTCGGTGGGTAATGTGGTCAGCATTACGCCGGCTGTCTTTACTTTCCCAGGACATCCCATCCTGGTACCCATTTTAGGCTGGGTCGCTGCACAGAATAGAAGGAATTAAATGGCATGGTTAAATCACTTATGCAGAGCTTCATCTTCTTCCCCTGGGAATGCTAAGAAAGACAATTGCCCATGTACCCATGGGATTTCCCAGAACAGTCCTTTAGAGAAACAAAAAATATTTACACAGGTCACCAATACATGTTTTAAAAACAATTTACTTATCTACATGTTTGTGAGGAATATTTACAGATATAAAAGGGAATCTAAATAAAAACTAACAGATTGAAGCATTATATGAAATACATTCCCTGGGGACTGAAAGAAAATGTTTTGGGTGACTCATACTGTGATTTGTATCACTGAGGATTACAGGAAAATTTGATATCTGCTTGGCTAAAACAGCCATTAATTAAGTTCACAAGCATCCTTGCTGCACAGGCACAAAAACAACCTGTGGCATTAATTAGGTGTCTCATAAACAGGTCATTGCAGGTATACTGATTAAGCAGCACTCTTAGGAATTGGAAACTACTAAAAATGCCAATTTGTGGCCTCCCTGGGCAAAAGGTTTAAGGGCAGAACTAATGAAATTCCAGCTAATAAAATGGTGAGAGAAAATAATGGATGCTAGTAACGGACACCTATTGAGAAAATGTGGTAATAGTAAACCTAGTATGTCCTTGAGCTGGAATGCACAAGGCATGAAGGATGGACAGTGTTATAAAAAGGAATGATGAAGAGAATTTGAGATTTGCCATACAAACAAAATAGAATGAACAGAAAATATTGACACATAAGGAATATATAATTTTAGCATACAGTCTTAGCTTATATGAAACAACCAGCCACACTGAAGAAACAGCACAATAAACCGTAAGAAGCACATCACACCTAGACAATTATTGGGGGATGTCCATAAGTAGCAGAGCAGATAACTCAATCCTAAAGTTGGATATAAAGACAATAATTGGCATAGCAACATTTCAAGACGATGAATTCCACTGAAGTTTTCACACTATTTTGTTGCATTACTTGATTATTCATGTGCTGTATTTTTATAATAGTTGTTTCATAAGGACACATTGTTGACTCCACACTGCAATATTTCATGACATTTTGATTCACTTTTGTATAGCTCAGTGTCCAGTAGTGAACTCTTGACAATTCATCAGTGCTGTAGTAAATATGTAGATGTTGATTTTTCCTTTGAAATTAAACCTTGGCAGTTGATATATGTGGCCTGGTATCTAGACACTTGCCTGCAGGCCCTAAGGTATGGGGTTTGAACCAACATTGAATCGGATGTTTTTTAAAAAAAATGACATTGGCTTCCAGTAAATTCCTGGGAAGTAAAGGTGGCCAGTGTGAAGTTGACCACATCACTCATCAAGTGTAATTTGACCTACAAAACTATGAGTCCAGCATCATTGTGCTGGATGGCCACTGGCGTGAAAAAGGGCCTTTAAACTACACTGCAGTATTGTCATGACATTGTTTACTTATATATATATAAATCAATGGCCAGTAGTTCATTCTTGATATGTCATCAATGCTTTTTTTTTTTTTATAATCAAAATATTTAGATGTTGATTGTCTCTTTATAATAAACATTTGCAACCACATATTTGATTTCATCACGAACATCATGTGCCATGATAGTACATCTAAACCAGTGGGTTTCAACCTTTTTTCCTCTGGCGTTCTCCCCCCAACCTCTCCCCCTTTTCCCTTGAATATTTAGCAAGAACCTCCTCCAGCCTCGAACTAAAAGATTTTATTTAAAAAGATCAGGACAGAAAGACAATTCCCAGCACATTTAACAAGGAAATGAAGAACAGAATGTCCACATAAATCAAATTTCAGAATAGGTCATTAGATTTGTAATGGTAGATGTACACTCTGCTCATGAAAAACAAAAATCTCTGTAGCTTTTTTTTCAAATAAACTTTTTGTTTTGCTTTTTAATAAACCCCCTAAAAACGTTAGTTTAACAGATTAACATAAATACAAGTGCAGTCAGTTTAAGAATTGCTGGAATTCCCTTTTTAAATTTTCTTTATGCCACCCCCCCCCCCTCCCCCTTTCTGGGGAGAAGGTGGCATG